AAATTCATATGGTGTGTTTATTATGAAGTTATTATTTTATTTTTTATAAAGAGCATGAACGCCTAATGTGTGTATACTTATATATTCTTTTATTATTATTAAAAAATAGGAAAGAAGATACAATGTTTAGGTCAAGAGATCCATTTTGGGATTATTGTGAACAAAGAGGAGATAAATTGTATTGCAATTTTTGCGGTGAAGGATTTTCTGTTGAGATAACAAGATTCAAATGTCACTTGTCAAGAGAACAAGGGAATGATATAAAAGCTTATCATCAAGTACCAGATGATGTACAAGCTATGACTGTTTTGCGACACACGAGGTATCTTCTAAGCCTCCAAAGAAGAAGAACAAAATTACATCATATGTTCAAAATGTTGATCAATGTTCGATAAACTTAGGTACCTCTACTGCTAGTTCTCGTTTGCATCAAAGTTCTTTACCATCATTATTGAATGAGCAAAATAATGATTTTGTTGGCAAAGAAGTTGCTCATGCATTTGTTATGAGTAATATTGCATTTAATGTTATCAATACACAATCATTTGTCAATATGATCAATGCATGTATCAATTTTATTCCTAGCTACACATTACCAAGTTACTCATCAGTTCGCACTAAATTAGTACAAGAACTTAAGACAAATGTCGATACATATGTAGCTTCAATAAAAAAGTCATGTATTCAATCAGGATGTACTTTGATGTCAGATATCTGGTCGGATATGAAAAACCGGTCATTCTTCAATGTTGTTGCATCTTGTCCAATGGGATCAGTTTTTATTAATGCATTTGAGGTATCTGAGCATAAGGTAGCTGGATTATTTCTTGAAAAGATTCTTGTTCAAGTCATTGAGGAGTTAGGATCACAAAATATTGTTCATCTTGTGATTAACAATGAATCAAATGATGTACTTGCTGGTGATCTAATAGAATCAAGATTATCTCATATTCATAAAACACGGTGTGCTATTGATGGTTATTGATAAAAAGGTTATTTGGGTACAAAATATCATTAAGGATGCTAAGCTAATAGTGGATTTTATGTATCGCCATACCATTGTTTTAGAATTAATGAGAAATCACACTAATGGAAGGGAATTGAAAAAGTATGGTAAAACTAGATTTGCCATTAACGTTTTGATGGTTCAATCTGTATTACAAGTAGAAGAGGGTTTGACAGTGATGGTTGCGTTCTCTGAGTGGAGAGCTATGGATTATAGCAAGAGTAAAATAGTACAAAAATCACAAAATAATTCAAAGTACCAAAGTTTGGAATGATGCAACAGATGTAATTACTACATTAGCGCCACTTATCAAGGTGTTTCGTTTGGGTGATAGTGAGGGGTGAACCATGGGATATTTATATGAAACATTAGAAAGGGCAAGGGAAGCAATAAAGATAAAATTTAATGGCAATTAATCTAGGTATCTTGAATTGGTGAAGATATTCGAAAAGAGGAGAAAGGAAAATATAATTCGCCAAGAAAATATAATTCACCCCATTCATGCTGTTGCCTCATTTCTGAATCCGACTTTAATGTATAGTGAGTTTGTTAAACTTGATAATCATGAAATAAAGGCTGGTTTTACCTTGATTTCAAATTCAATGATCCAGGCAGAATAGAAAACTGTATTCTTTTCAGAGTTGTTGAAGTACCATACGCAGCATTCAAATATATTTGATGGTGTTGCAATGGGATTATTGTCAATAGCTCATTCTCATCACTATCTTCTTGATTATCAAGTTTTTGTATCTTCTTGTATTATTTATGTTTTTGTATTTTAAGAAAATAAATTTTATCTTACTTTTAATTCTATCTTGAGTATGTGGCTGAAAATTTCCTATTATGCAAGAGTTTGGTGGGAAGTATGCAGAGACAACGTTCCATTGGTTCGAATGGTTGCTATTCAGATTTTGAGCCAACCATGTAGCTCATCAAGGCGTGAAAGAAATTGGAGTGCTTTTGCGGCGACTCAAACCAAAAAAAAGAATAGAATGACACCAACTATGTTAAACGACTTGGTTTACATACAAATGAACTCGAAGATGATGGCTACATCGCGTAAAAATGAAATTCGAGATTGTAATGCAATTAATCTAGAACAACTTGGTTCATTACCAGAAGAGGTTTCCGAAAAGGTGGAACATGAGGACACCTCTCCAGATGATGATGATGATGATGCATGGTTGCATGACTTGGGGATTATACCTTTTCAAACTCCTAACTTTTCTTTTGACTCTACCATGCCTTATGCTTAATTTTGAATATTTCTAGTTACTTATGTATTGAATATTGGATGACTGGATGAGAATCATGAGTCATCTAAATTAATTGACATAATTATATTAGTCTAGTAAATTTTTTATGAATGGATTAGTTTGGCTTTGACATAATTTTTATTTTTCATAATTTCAAAATTTTTAACATTTTAACTTGTCCGATTTTTTGACTCCGATTTTTTGAGCCTAGTCCGATATATTGGTGATATCTTTACATGAAGTATTTTTGCCGATCCATATTTTTTTTTCCGATTTTTTCATCTGACTTTTTAAAATAAAAACGATTTTTTCTTGATTTTAAGGTAAGCCGATTTATTGAAAGTCCCCGACTTGTTAACTATGGTTAAGAGTCGAACAAGGGGTGACTCCAATTCTACCAACTTGAGAAAAAAAAAGGACAAAAAAGTTGTAAACTATAT